CAAGAGTTGGTTCTGCTCAGCTCAGTGGATTGCTTTAAAAAGGCCTGATTTCTTTCCTTGATAAACACAATATAACTGAATACTAAAATTTATAGGTAAAGTTGATCCAGGGAATATCCGATTGCCTCTCAGGGGATCAGGAAGGAATTTTTTCCCCTGCAGGAGCAAATTGCTGGGTTTTTTGCCTTCCTCTGGATCAAGTTTGGGTATAGAATAACTTTTTTTTTATTTTAATGGTTGAACTGGATGGACTTTTGTCTTTTTTCAGCCAGACTAACTATGTAACTATGTATGTAACTGATAAAGTGCTCATGTGCAAAAAATGTCCATTATATAACTCTCAATCTTCTCCACAGAATGTGCATAAGTCCCCAAATGTAGGGAAAACACTCCACTCTGTCACTAGGAATGTGAAATTCCTCCACCTTTTATGCACTCCCCAGATAGCTAAAATACCATGGCATGTATAATAGCTGATGCTGTATCTCCATTTTACACTCCTCAGTATTTCTCAATATCCCAGCCTCAGGCCGTAATGGTTTCCTAAATAAAAAAGCTCACACCACAGAGCCCCGAGATAAAGTATATGGTGCAGTATTTTATTATTAAAACCGCCAGCATAAAAACATATCCACCGAAAAAATTAACAGACAGTCCTGACTTACTAAGATCGCCGCCGACCCGACTCGCGGAAATGGCAGCATGACGTCAGCACGTAAGGCCCCTCCCATACACGTCTACATTGCTCAATAAGGATCTTAAATTTCCCACACAGGTTAAATTAAATACATTCCAGTTTGTAAGACAAGTGCCCTTGAAGAAATATTTTGCTAAAAATCCTATTGTTAAAAATGCAGGGAATACAGGAACTTTTAAAAATTCACATTTGAGAAATGCATCTCTGTTTAACCCTCCCGATGCCTCTAATAAATTGTCTATTATAGAGGTTGGCTCATCACCTTTTTGCTAGCAGCTTATACTATCTGTAGCTGTAACAGGAATTTTCCACTTTTTCTCCACAGGCTCAATGAACAATCTAGGGGTATTGGTTTTGCTTTATTTTTTTTTTTTTAAAACTTGGATCGGGAATAGGGGTACATGGAATACCCCAAACTGAAGAAATATTACCAACTATTTACAAATGGTTGGGGACCTGCTAAAGTCTCTGGCTGCTGTAGGCTACTTCAACCTGAGCTGCACACCAGTGGGAATGATGACTCTGAAAAATCAACCAAACTCCAAGAAGTCAAAGTTGCAGACACAGGACCTGGCAGTATGCACTGCATCTGGCTGCTCTTGACCCAAGCTAGAGATAATGAAGGGTGTTCCTGGTTGTCTTGCACTGCACTCAAGCTGTCCCCTACGTACTGTTGTACAGGCTGATTCTGCCTTAGAATTCCCAGCTAGATCTAGCTGAAACTATGTCTGAGTGAAGTCCTAGAGCCCTTTTCTCCTCTGTCTCTCTCCTGCTGCTTTTTCTCTCCCTTCTGTCCCAAGGGGCAGAGCCCCCAGCACAGGGGGTCCCTCCAGATGACTGGGCCCTGGTTTCTGCTCTCCTAGACTGCCAGGCTTCTGAGTATTCATGGACTGTAACCATCCCTTCTGGGTCCTGCCTCTCCAGGGATTGGTGGAAACTCCATGAATAGTCAGGCTGTAGCCTCTGTCCCTCCACCCACTAGATTATAGAACTATCCAGCAAGTTCTAGAGGACAGGGGGAGGTAACAAGACCACAGTCTGTGAAGCTCTGCACAGCCTCCTTAACCAATTAACCCCTGCTCCTCTGGCTAAACTAAGAAGCTAAACTAAATTGACCTATTCTAGAAACCTAAGAGGGTGCTAGACTACTTAACACACAACTGTTTCACTACCTACAAGTCAAGCACTTTATAACTTCCGGGATCTGTCCTCCAGTCAACGAGATGACTTTGACTGTCTTTGATCAGATATATCAAGGTCACTCTCAAATTGCAAACGTGCATATTCGTATACATTATGTATATATATATATATATGTGTAAACTTTTTCTTCATCCTCTTCTAGTTGCCAGTGTTGCAATTTACACATATATGCTCGTATATACATACGTATACAACAGGGGCGGACTGACCATTTGGACACTCGGGCACTGCCCGAGGGCCCGGGGTCAGTAGGGGGGCCCAATGAGATGCCCCTGGTACCTTTAATTGGCTTTTTCATAGGCTTTTTTTGGCTGTGGGTAAGGACACAGGGGCCCCATGATCCCCTATTGCCCAGGGGCCCCATGAGTTGTCAGTCCACCCCTGGTATACAAGCATATGCATGTCAATTTCTGCACTCAAATGTTAAATTTTCTTTTTTCTTTTATGGCTCTAAACTCATTGTTGCTTGCTGATCTTTTTCCAGCTTTGTGCATTGTTCCATAGACCAGCCTTTCTCAACCAGGGTGCCATGGCACCCTGGGGTGCCGTCTGATGTCATCAGGGGCGTTGAGGCATCTTGCTTGAGAATGGCATTCAGATCTGGCTCAGCTCCCACAGATCTGCCGAAGTGTAGATCGGCACAAGAAGCTCTTGATCAGGGCAAGCAGAAGGGGCAGCTCCGCAGGTGGGATGAGTCCTGCGCCAATTAGAAAGAGGCTGAAGCCCACTGGCAGGGGGAAGTCCGGGAGACATCTGGCATAGAGATGTCCGGGTAGATGGGGATGATGGGGACACAATTTGAGTGTGGGGGCAGAGTTCCTGGCTGACTCTACTGCGGGTGATCTGCTGAAGACAGGGGAGATGCAGAGAGTGAAGTCAAAAAGGTGATCAATGATAGAACCAGTACCAATGCAGATGGCATCAGTGGTCTGCACCTGGTGAGGCTCACAAGACTGCACAACGCAGAGGTGACAGGCAGAGACAGTGCCCAAGACAGCCTGCTCTGTACCTTGTTACATGGAGGCTGCTATTGCTGAGATAATGAAGTATGGGCATCTCCAGGTCTGACAGGTTAGGTACTAGTATCCAGGTGTTGCTGGTGGCATGGCGGTGCCCAGGCTTGCATGGCAATGGTGAAAGTTGCAGAGAAGCCTTGTATTTGCCTACTGACAGGGACAAATTTATACAAAGACAACTGTCTTGTGTCACTCCTCTAATTCCCTGCTCAGCAGTATACAGAATGTATTTATGTGAATGTGCAGTATGTTTATATGCATGTATGTGCATTACATTTAATATTGACCCTTAATCCTGTACAATCATAATTGCTTTTCTAGCGCTCATTCAAAAGGGCGGCAAGAACTGATGCTTCTCTAAAAAGCGATCCTTGATGGATCACTTTTCAGAGGAATTTGACAGTGCAGATGGCTGCAGGGAAGTTGCAGTGTGGTCCCCTTCACCTGGCAGTATACTTCTTGCCGTGGCCACAGCATGTATACGACCATGGCTGCTAAGGGGGAGCTGATGGAGGTAGTAAAAATGTGGCTCATTCCCAGGGTTTTACTGCCCACTAATATCATGTGTGAACGAGCCCTTTGTTCACATCGGTGCGAGTGCATATTGGGCAGCCTATTCATTTCAATGGGCTTCCCTACCCACAGAAGCGCAGGGGAAGAAGTCACCAACCCTTTAATAAAAATCATGCTACACTGAAAAAGAATCACCAGGTTTGCCAGTGCATGGGGGTACCATTAAGAATCAATGGCACCCCTGAACATCTGCTAAAGAGCAGCATGTTTGTGTGTCTGGAACATGCATGATTTTGCACGCGTTCCCCCGACATGCATTAATGAACCAATCATTAGACCAGGGTGCCTTGAGACCGAAAATACTTTTCAAGGGCGCCCTGACTGGAAAAAGGTTGAGAAACACTGCCATAGACAACGATTCCCCTGTGTTCAGATCTGTAAAAACAACAGCATATTTTTTGCCTGTGTACAAGAGGCCTAAAAATTTTTATAGTAAAATAGAAGATTTTGTGTAGAGATGTACACATTGGACCAAAAAGAGGGACAACTGAGGCTGCATGAGGGACAGAGGGGTTTGGTTTTAAAAGAGGGACAGTCCCTCCAAATGAGGCATAGTTGGGAACTATGAGTAATGTGTAAGGCAATGGGTAGCGTCAGTCATTCGTTGTCTCTGGCTTACATGGATTCCACTCTTGGCCACGCCTGAGAAGCAGAAATAAAAGTAGCGGCCGGTCAGACCCAGGGGACGTCTGCTCCATAACCCACATAGTTCAGGATTGTAGGGGTTATTTTTATGGAGGCAGAAAATTCAACCTAAAATCAATTTTTGTTTACAATAGATCTACTTTATGCAATATAAACAGCCAAATTTAGATCCAAAACCCCATCTTTCAATCTGAAAAAGAAGCACTTCTGAATTATGAGCCACACCGCTAACAGCAGTTTCCCTGTGATGACCATTCTCTGTAGCACCATGAAGCTTCTGTCCTTATACCCAGTTGTGATTAGTGTACACACGTGTAAACAAGCCAGTGACAGATCTTGGTCACTTGTGTTTAGTTCTAGATCGAAGAATCAGGCCAAGGTTTGGTTCAATCAGGATCTGTGTGTATGTGTAAACTACAGGCCCTCTGACCTTGTGTACAGTAAACAGACTATCCTTTACCCTTCAGCAAAGACATCCAGTTTCCCCAGATCATCAGACAGTCCGATCAAGGCATCCAGTGTCCCCACCTGTACAGGAAACAAAGTAAATACATAGGATGAGACGTCTTTATAATCTATATCCATTAAGGATTTATGTTCATAAATGAAGAAAGTAATGTCTGCATTAAATATGAACCTGATATTAAAATGATCAAATATATAAGAATGAAGTGATGTGATATATACTGTATGTAATTGTCACTGAAACATGAAAACTCTCTGATTGCCAGTCTGTTCAGCTACAACGTTATATATAATTAATATGACAGCTTGCAAAAATGTGCACATTCCCAAAGTTACATAACAATGAACCAAAAATAGTTAAAACCCACGCTTTTTGTTTTTTTAACAGAATAGGAAAAAGTTAAAACATCTTTCATGCAGGGCTGGATCTAGCCTGTCTGATGTGGGGGTGCAGTAAAAAAATGTCAGGGGGGCAGAGGATGAGAGATCAGCAGGGCAGAGGACACAGGTCACTTCTGGCAGTGCAGAAGTTAGGGGTCACTGCTGGCAGGGCAGAGGACAGGGGTCACTGCTGGCAGGGCAGAGGACAGGGGTCACTGCTTGCAGGGCAGAAGACCGGGATCACTGCTGGCAGGCAGAAGACAGGGGTCACTGCTGGCAGGGCAGAGGACACGGGTCACTGCTGGCAGGGCAGAAGACAGGGGTCATTGCTGGCAGGGCAGAGGACAGGGGTCACTGCTGGCAGGGCAGAAGACGGGTCACTGCTGGCAGGGCAGAGGGCAGGGGTCACTGCTGGCAGGACAGATGACAGGGGTCACTGCTGGCAGGGCAGAGGACAGGGGCACAGCTCTTTTTCCCATCCCTGCACTGCACACAGCCTGGGCACAAGCAGCAGAGCTGCCACACCTCCCCACTCAACGCATAACTGAGATCAGTAAAGTTTTACTCAAAGAGAGTATGGTATCAGGCTAGGGCAGTATAGTGTCAAACTAGGGCGGTAAAGTATCAGATTAGGGTGGTATAGTGTCAGATTAGGGTAGTATAGTGTCAGGTTAGGGCAGTACAGTGGCAGGGTAGGGTAGTATAGTGGCAGGTTAGGACAGTACAGTGGGCAGGGTAGGGTAGTACAGTGGCAGGGTACGGTAGTATAGTGGCAGGTTAGGGCAGTACAGTGGCAGGGTAGGGTAGTATAGTGGCAGGTTAGGGCAGCATAGTGGCAGGTTAGGGTAGTATAGTGGCAGGTTAGGGCAGCATAGTGGCAGGATAGGGTAGTATAGTGGCAGGTTAGGGCAGCATAGTGGCAGGGTACGGTAGTATAGTGGCAGGTTAGGGCAGCATAGTGGCAGGGTAGGGCAGTATAGTGGCAGGCTAGGGCAGTACAGTGGCAGGGTAGGGTAGTATAGTGGCAGGTTAGGGCAGCATAGTGGCAGGGTAGGGTAGTATAGTGGCAGGTTAGGGCAGTATAGTGGCAGGGTAGGGTAGTATAGTGGCAGGTTAGGGCAGCATAGTGGCAGGGTAGGGTAGTATAGTGGCAGGTTAGGGCAGTACAGTGGCAGGGTAGGGTAGTACAGTGGCAGGGTACGGTAGTATAGTGGCAGGTTAGGGCAGCATAGTGGCAGGTTAGGGTAGTATAGTGGCAGGTTAGGGCAGCATAGTGGCAGGGTAGGGTAGTATAGAGGCAGGTTAGGGCAGCATAGTGGCAGGGTAGGGTAGTATAGTGGCAGGTTAGGGCAGTACAGTGGCAGGGTAGGGTAGTACAGTGGCAGGGTAGGGTAGTATAGTGGCAGGTTAGGGCAGCATAGTGGCAGAGTAGGGTAGTATAGTGGCAGGTTAGGGCAGCATAGTGGAAGGTTAGGGTACTATAGTGGCAGGTTAGGGCAGCATAGTGGCGGGTTAGGGTAGTATAGTGGCAGAGTAGGGTAGTAAAGTGGCAGAGTAGGGTAGTAGTGGCAGGTGGGCAGAGTAGGGTTAGGGTAGTATAGTGGCAGGTTAGGGCAGCATAGTGGCAGGTTAGGGTAGTATAGTGGCAGGTTAGGGCAGCATAGTGGCAGGGTAGGGTAGTACAGTGGCAGGTTTGGGAAGTACAGTGGCAGGTTAGGGTAGTATAGTGGCAGGTTAGGGCAGTACAGTGGCAGGGCAGTATAGTGGCAGGGCAGGGCAGTATAGTGGCAGGTTAGGGCAGTACAGGGGCAGGTTAGGGTAGTATAGTGGCAGGTTAGGGCAGTACAGGGGCAGGGTATGGTAGTATAGTGGCAGGTTAGGGCAGCATAGTGGCAGGTTAGGGTTGGTTTGGGGGGAACAACTGAAAATCTGGGGGGCATAGCCCACCCCTACACCCCCCTAGATCCAGCCATTGCTTTCATTCATTTTTATTGCAGACTGTGTCATCACTGGAGAGATTTCTCCTCACTCCTGTCCAAGTCAGAAGAACAGGAAATAGGCAAATCTGCCCAAATGGTAAAAATAAAAACAGATGTCTCATCCCTTCTCACACTACTAAAGAAAATGGACAAAGAGAGAGTCAGAAAGGAACAGAGAGGATATCTCTTCAGCAAAAACAGAGACCTAACCAAGGTTCTAACCCTCTCTTATTCTATTCTAAATTAATGCTACATTACCAATTTACACTTTTCACATTAAAAAAAACACAAGGATACAAAATGTAAAGTGTAAGTCCAGCCAAAAATAGTTTTTCTTCAGTTTTAGAGTGGGGAAGAATTTGAACCCCTGCTGGTTTTAACTGCTGTCTGGGCCCCGTTAGAGAGATTTGCCCTCAGTACGGGTCATGATGACAATGGTTTCACCGGAAGGAAAATCTCCTATAGCAATACAGACATAAATAAAAAAGCTGATAGAGTTTTATTTCCCACTCTAGAAAAAAATATATAACAATAGATATTTATCTATTTTTTAATTTATTTTTATTTTTTTTAATTTATTTATTTATGTATTTATTTTAATTTAATTCTTTTTAATTCTGTTTTGCAGGTTTTCCTTCACTTTCTACATGGTGAAACACTTAGGGAAATGTCAGCCCGGCATAGGACTAAAAACCCAACCAAGGGCAAATGTATAAAAGCAGTAAATCTGACATGCACCATACATTCACTGCAGGTGACAGAGATCTATTTACCTACAGTGAATGTTTGGTGAAAGTCACACTCCCTGCTTAATAAATATGCCCCCACAGTAAGCACAAATCTCTCTCAGAGCTGCAGATATCAGTGAAATTCTACAGGGGTTCTAATCCTTCCCAGCTCTATCCAAATTTACAAATGAAACAAAATGCTGACTGGACACTTTAAAGTCCAATACAAAAAGACAAGTTTAGAATCAAAATGAAAATGTCCATGTTTCAGCTATTTGTTGGGATTTTTCTCCTGGCTGTGGTCGGATGTGAAGAATATGGGAGATAAAGGTCACTTCTTGTTTTCACTGCAAACTATTTAACAACAAATCGGGTTGTGTTGTGAACACCTTCCTTGCTGTTGTGAAATGAATATTGTACGCATTTACTGCAAAGACGGACTGTTTTCAGTAAACCTTTGATTTTAACCTCTTCGCCTCCAAAGCCCCATCCCCGTTAAAATAAACCTGGCATGATGGAAATGCCGGGGCTGCAATTACTGACCTCCTGAAAATGCTAACTGCTTGGTTGTTATTCTGACCCACTTCCAAACCACCTAGAAAGTCGGAGATAAGACAGACACCTTTATCTGAATACATGAACCAGGTTAGCAACTCCAAGGCTAGGTTGACATGTGTACAGTTCTGCGTGTCGTGTTTAAGCAGACACAGCAGCCCATTCATTTGAAGAATTATCGAGAGTCATTCATTAAGAGTTAAAGGCACCCCTGCGTATTTTCTTAAAGTTTTTTAGTGCAGCTGCAAGAATGCAAGTAACACGCACTCACACAAATGTGAACATATCCTTAAAGTTTGCCAACCATAATGATCAGCGTGACAACCAGGAAACATTTTAAGAGAAGAGAGGTCCGCAGTGTCTCAATGTTACTCCCATGATGCGTTTCATTTAAAGTAGAAGGCCAGTCAAAACCTAACTAAACTGTTCCCACCCCCATTCTAAGCCCTATACTAACTATCCTGTAAAGGAAAATGCTTATACTTACCTAATCTAAGGGAGCTCTAGTCTGGTTATGTGATTAGCTCCCAGCGCTGGCTTCAGGTAGAGGAGGGACAATGGATGCCCCATAGTAAGCCTGTGGGTGATACCACTGCCCAGGTTCTACAGCCATTGTCACTACTCTCTATTCTACACTGAAGCTGGCCACTGGGGTGATCACATGACTGGACCAGAGGGCCCTTAGATCAGGTAAGTATGAGCATCTTTCCTTTATAGGATACCTAGTATAGGGCTTAGAATGGGGGTGGAAGCAAGTTTCAGCTTAGTTAGGCTTTGACCAGACTTCCACTTCAACTAGAGATTTTTAAATCCAGTGTTGTAAAAGGATGGACAACGCTCAAACCATCCCAGAGAGTCAGATGTGTAATATGGCCTCAGCTGCCACTCCGGCCATGCCCTCCGATGTGTTCTGCCCCACCCACCAGGGGGGTTTGGTCACAGAAGGTGGGTGGGGCGAAACACGTCAGAGGGCATGGCTAAAGTGGCGTCTGATTCCATAATACACGTCTGGGCTGGTTTGAGTGGCATCCATCCTTTCACCACACTGGACTTACTAGAAATATTTTGGACACTGCTTCCCCTTTCCAAATACCGGCAGGGTGACCTTTTTTCTTTCTAGCTTGAAATGGCGCCACAAGGTTTTCTCTAGAGATTTTAAAAAAAAATGTTTTAAATTTTTATATCAGAGATGTTTCGGTGCCACACCTAACTATTAGCTTTTGTGGTTTGTCAAAATGTATTATACTATATACTGTTTTTTGGTCCCAGAAACATAGGGGATTTATTTGGTAGCATATTTGAATACATATTTTGTATCTACTGTTTTAATCAGGAATAATTGGAAAATAAAATCCTGCAATGTTTTTTACAAACTGCATAGCACCAGGTTTTTAACTTGAAATATAATCAACAAAATCTTCTGATTACAAAGATATAGTTTAATTTGCCATTTTTGCACAAAAAAAAGGCAAAGTTAAAAGTCATTTTTTAATTAAGGAGAGTTTTATTTCTCCTTTCAACAACAAATCATGACGCCCGCAGGAAACAAATCTGTTATATTTTGTAACCCTGAGATAGAATCAGCAAGAGTTTGCATAGGGAGTCATTAGTGACATTTTCACAGGATTGTGATGATGGAAATTCAGCCAAAAGTAGTAAATTGTTTAGTGGAGTTTGATGCAGAGAAAGATGCATACTGATTGGATGATATAGGTCACCACGCTTCACCTACCAGAAACGTTTTCTCCCACTATAAGATATTATGACTTGTGTACTCACCTTCAGATCGGGTATTACGAATTTTGAATTGTTGGACAGGTTGGCTTTGGTTGTCACGGTATTCATTCTCTCCAGAGCCGTCAGATTGGTTTTATCCCCAGGAACGGAAATTAACCAGAATTCCATCTTTCAGTTCTAAATCGGTCTCCAAATAGCTGGAAACAAAAGTAATAATTTGTTTTGTGAAGCATCTACAACTAAATTTGCTTTTAGAAAAAGTGTTTTGGAAATACCCTGAATTTCAAAATTGTGATGAAAGTTCAAATAGTGTATTTATTATTTTACAAATGTTACAGGTCAAACATGAATTTAAAAATACAGTTCATTGATAACTGATATTTCAGCCACAGACACTTGTCAGCTAAACCACCCTCTGCTTGTATGATTCTTGAGGACTCCAGTAGTGAGATCTTACAGGCAGCTAAAAGATAACTGTATCAGCATTTACTTACTTGAGAGACTAGAGGAGATGTTCCAGTGGTCTCATGT